CCGCCGCCGCCGCCGCCGCCGGAGCCGCGAGCGAGCCGGGCAGCCGCGCCGGCCCGGGCCGGGGCGGGGGGCGCGGGCCGCAGGCCCCTGCTCCGGCCGCCGCTTGCAGACCGTGGGCGCCCGATGCCGCCCGCGCCCCGCTAGGCTGAATTTCGGGCCGGGCGAGCCGCCGCCGCCACCGCCCGAGCCGCGGACAGGAGTCTCGGGAGCCACCGCCGCCGCCCGGCCGGGCCCCGCCGCCGCCCGCGCGCCCCCGGGCCCCCGACACACATGAGATTCTTCAGGCTCACTTTCAAGTGCTTCGTGGACTGCTTCTGACCGCGCCGCCCCGCCTCCCCGACCCCCGGCCCGGCCGCCCCCGGCCCCCCGGCGGGCCCGCGCCTTCGGGGCCCCCCAGCGCCACCGGCGCCCTCCGCCGCCCGTCCGCCCGCCCCCGCGAGGCGCCGCGCCCCCCGGCCCGGCCGCGCGGCCCGCTGGGGCCATGGCGAAGAAGAGCGCCGAGAACGGCATCTACAGCGTGTCCGGCGACGAGAAGAAGGGCCCCCTGATCGCGCCCGGGCCCGACGGGGCCCCGGCCAAGGGCGACGGCCCCGCGGGCCTGGGGGCGCCCGGCGGCCGCCTGGCCGTGCCGCCGCGTGAGACCTGGACGCGCCAGATGGACTTCATCATGTCGTGCGTGGGCTTCGCCGTGGGCCTGGGCAACGTGTGGCGCTTCCCCTACCTGTGCTACAAGAACGGCGGAGGTGAGCGCCCCCGCCCCGCCGCGTCCCCGCTCCTTCTCGCCAGGGGCCCCCTCCCCCGCCCGCCCCACCGGGGCGCGGGGCCGAAGTCCGGGATAGGGGGTGCTGGAGACCGCCCCTCGCTGGCCGCTGCCGCTCGGTGGCTCAGCCCCGGCGGCCTCCACCCCCCAGCCGGTCATGTGCCTGGCAGTGTGTGGGGGGAGGGGGCCGGCGAGCCAACTGCGAAGCCCCGGGACTGCCTCCCCCCGGACTCCTGGCGCAGGGGCCCCGGAGTGATTGGCCACGGAGGTGGGAAGGCGATGCCTGCCCCCTGGGGGGCTCCCAGAGGTGAGGAGCCCAGGCTGCCCCCGCCGGTCAGGCACACAAGTGGCACATTGTGCGGGGCCCCCACGTGTGCACACACGAACACACACACACACAATGGACTACTCTGTCCCTCCCCCTGCCCTCTCCTCCCCTCCCCTCCCTTCCCCTCTCTTCTCTTCCCCTCACTCCCCTCTCCTCCCCTCCCCTCCCCTCCCTTCCCCTCCCCTCCCCTCCCCTCTCCCCTCCCCTCCCCTCCCCTACAGCCTGGGCCTGGAACACTGGGTGCCTGAGCCAGGCTTGGGTAGCCTGCGGCCTGGGCCGCCTGGCGCCGCCGCTGGACACACGGCACGCATACCCCATGCCCGCCTGCCCCGGGCCCAGCTTAGCAACAGCGATAGCCACCGGGTGTCCTGTGACTGCAAAGTAGCGCTGGGGCTGGGGGAAAGCCATGGTGACTGGATGATGGGTGGGAAACTGAGGCCCAGAGTGAAGGCCTTGGCCCAAGGTCACACACAAGAAGGATGCTTGGGACCAGCAGCCGGACAAGCTGCAGCCAAGCCCGACTTCTGAGTAATGCAGAGCTGAGCTGGGGCAACAGAAGGGGGCCTGGAGAGGACAGGAGAGCAGACCGGGGGGGGGGGGGGGGGGGGGGGGGGGGGGGGAGGCTGCTGATGCCCAGCTCCCCTTACCCCCCACCTCTGGCCTGTGGTCTCTGGCCCCACGTTGCCTGCAGCCTCTAGAGCCAGGCTCACCAGAGTTTGTACTACCCCACCTTGACTCCCTCTGTCTTTGTTCACCGATACCTCGAGATTCCCCCCCCCACCGTGCCCCCTGGCAGAAGACTGCCACCCACCCTCTTCCCTGGACCTTCGTGCTTGCAGGCAAGTGCCTGGGTGCAGGAAAACCCAGGCTCCCCGTCCTTGCCCAAGCCAGACAGGCCCCCAGGCCGGAGTGCCAGCCATGGCGCACACACGCACGCACACGGACGCATCCACATGGCCTCACCGCTCTTTCCCGTGCTGCCTGGCCAACTGCGACACGAGGCTGTATGTGTCCTCCGTGCCTGTTAGGTCACTCTCGGTGACGGTGGGGCCAGAAGCCTTGTGAGCACAGGGGCCCCCTACCCAAGAAACAGGGCTGTAAGCATCGGGGGACGGCCACATCCCTCCCGACATTCCAACCCCCTCCTCCCAGCAAGGCTGTTCACCTTGCAACTCTGAGTCAGTGGCCACCCCCTGCACTGATTCACCCACTGGGAAGTTAGGATGGGGCCGGGGAGGAGCCCGGAGCTGGCTCCTCCCTGGCCTCCCACGGCTTCCGAAAGCTGGGCTGGCCAGCCAGGGGCTAAGGGGCCGCCCTGGGCAAGTGCCCACCCTTGTGTTCTTCCTCCCCCAGGTGTATTCCTTATCCCCTATGTCTTGATCGCCCTGGTCGGAGGAATCCCCATTTTCTTCCTGGAGATCTCGCTGGGCCAGTTCATGAAGGCCGGCAGCATCAACGTCTGGAACATCTGCCCCTTGTTCAAAGGTGAGCGGCCCCAAGCCGGTCCCGTTTGCCCTCTCCCTCAGCGACCCCTCCCCTTTCCCACTGCTAGGGCAAAACTGGCACCCACTTGAGAAATCTTGTCTCATCTGAGCACCAGGCCGGGGACCCGGTGCATACCCCCCAAGTCACGAGTGGGAAGCCGGAGGATCTGGAGACCACCCAGTGACCTTAGGCATGCGGGGAATGGGAGTCGGGGACTGGCCTCTCCACCAGGGTGAGGGTGCCCAGGCCCAGCAGAGCCGGGAACAGACCCTGCCAAGCATACTTGGCTCACCGGGGCTGAGCAGAGGGTGCGAGAACAGGAGATGATGTCAAGGGCCAGCTCTCCCAAGGCCAGAGGGCCAGCCTAAGGAGGTGGGGCAGCAGCTATGGGAAGTTCAGGGAGGATCTGAAGGGAAGGACTATTGGCAAAAGTCACTTTAGAGCTCCTTCTGCATGTGGGCAGTGTCCCTGTTATCTCTCAAGGCCTTAGGAGGGACCCTGGGGAGGCCAGGGCTCAGAGAGGCGAAGTGACTGGCCCCGGTTGCCCGCTGAGAGAGTGACCATCTCCCACACCACCCCAGGTCACCAGGAAGCCCCCAGCTGCTGAGTACTGGAGGCCACTGGGGGGCCAGCTGGAAGCTTGGCCCTCCATCAACTGCCACGGTGGCAGTGGGACCCAGAAGGGGACCCGTGTGTGAGACTAGGGAATTCACAGGAGCTGAGGCTCCGACTGCAGCAGGAGGGGAGGGTTCAAGGGAGGAACCTCGAGCCAGCCCTCCAGTGTCGGGCTACTCGGACAAGTGAGAGTCCAGGGGCTCTCTGCATCTGCCCTCCCCACCATCCTCCCACCACATCTCAGTCATGCTCCAAAGACTTCTCTGAGCTCGGTAGGATAGATAAGGGGGGCGGTGGGGAGCAGCCAGAGAAGAGCCCACGCAGAAACTCCTCTTCTTCCCAGGCCTGGGCTATGCCTCCATGGTGATCGTCTTCTACTGCAACACCTACTACATCATGGTGCTGGCCTGGGGCTTCTATTACCTGGTGAAGTCCTTCACCACCACGCTGCCCTGGGCCACATGTGGCCATACCTGGAACACTCCTGACTGTGTGGAGATCTTCCGCCATGAAGACTGTGCCAATGCCAGCCTGGCCAACCTCACATGTGACCAGCTTGCTGACCGCCGGTCCCCTGTCATCGAGTTCTGGGAGTGAGTCAGGCGCCTCTGGGCCAAGCCCTGCCTGTCCCTGTCTGTGGGCTCCCCATATGGCCCGGGTCTGCGTGTGCTGGGGCCCGGCCCCCTGGGGGGCGGGGCGGGATGCCGAGCAGGGGCCACTCCCAGGCCCTGCCTGTCCTCTGGGAGCCCCCCACGCGGTCCCTAGGGGAGCTGGAATGGACGGGCCTCACTCCCTCACCACTTCTTGGTGCCGGGCATCGTCAGTCCCCTTGTGCCTGCCAGCCTGGGGGAGGGGAGACCACCGAGGGCACGACCAGCCTCTGGCCAGGGGCTCCCGGGCTCCTGCCTCCCGCACTGCAACGCCTCCGGGCTGTGGGCTTGGGCTGGGTGCCCGGGTGCCCAGGGGGGCCCAGCTGGACCCGAGGGCTGCGGCACGGGGGAGTACTGCCCCGGCGACAGCTCCCGGGTCGCTTTGCCCTCTGCTGCGGCAGCCCTGACGGGCTGTCCCTCCCCCAGGAACAAAGTCTTGCGGCTCTCTGGGGGGCTGGACGTGCCAGGGGCCCTCAACTGGGAGGTGACCCTGTGTCTGCTGGCCTGCTGGGTGCTGGTCTACTTCTGTGTCTGGAAGGGGGTCAAGTCAACAGGAAAGGTACAGCTGGAGGCGGGCAGGTGGGGGGGGGGATGATGGCAGGGGTGGGGGCAGCATGGCCGATGGGGAGAAGAGGCATCTCCACTGGGGGGGGCCCCCGCCATGCGAGGTGACCAGGCCAGGGCCTGAGGAGGGGGCAGGTACTTGAATCCAGGCCACTGGATTTCCCACGCATGCCTGCATAGTCAGTCCTCCCCACCCTCCAAACTCCAGCCCAGACGGCTTCCGTCCTGAGGGGACAGGCCCAGGCGACAGCCAGCTGAACTTGCCTGTGTCGGGCATCCCCGCCCCAGTTTCC